GGCACATACCTACCATAATGTGGGTTGAGTGCCTCCCCGGGGTTTCATCTCCTTGGTATATGTTGCTCCTTGGTTCCCTGCACAATTTTTTTTGTCAAACTAATGCCACGGCAGTGCCGTGCTGCCGTGGCGGCCACTACGGCCCTGATATTAGACCGGTTTTACTGAGTTATTTACAAGAGAATGTCTAATCATCATCGCATGACAATCTGGGTGACGGTTTTTGTGTCGGTATGACTCCATATAACATTTACGATTTTACGGCGACTTTGCGTCGAAGCATTACAATCGACGTTGTATTGCGATTGAAGCGTTAAAATGTTTACAATCTCTAGTATTTTTTTTATTGAATTGCACCATGATATGGACGAAAATGCACCGGCCCCTGAGAAATATTGGGTTCAAATCAATAATCTTTGTATAACGGTGTTAACGAGTTCAAGCATGGATTCAGCGCACGCAACTATAAATTGCTAACAGATCTTACATAACGTAGTTCTGATTGATTCCCTGGTTCTTACCGGTTTCCCTGCGACATTTACTGAAGAATGTCCAGTCATCCTCGCGTGCATGACAATCTGGGTGATGTTTTTTTGTCGGTATGACGATATATAACATTTACGGTTTGACGGCGTCATTTGTATTGCGATTGAAACGTTAAAATGTTTACAATCTCTAGTATTTTTTTTATTGAAATGCACCATGATATGGATAAATAATTAAAATGAGGATAGTTAGAATATATAAGCACGTATATGTGTGTGTGTGGGGTTGGGCGTGCAGGCATGCGTGCGCGCGTCTGTGCCTATAATAGATTTCCCATAGAAAATGCTTCGTCATTTCTTATACTATCCATCTTATGTTTAATGGGCAGAAATCAGATTAGAACGCTTATCGCTTCCACGTAAAAATATTATTATAAAAGCCAACATAATGACACACGCATATCGTATTAGGGATAATAACTGTAAATAGCAACGCGACGAGCGATAGCTTGTATCAATAGATAGTATTATAAGCTGATAATTTAAGCTGTTTGTTCAACATGGCACTAACGCGTTACTCTCATGAAACTCCTGCGCCTTGGTCGTAGGAAACGAATGCGATAAAGTTAGGTGCCTGGGATACAATGTTTTAAGGCCCTTATACTATGGCGCCAGGAGGAAGACGTGTTAAGCTCGACGCAAGTTCCACATACTGCAGCGAGATCGAAAGTAACACTATGCAGAGAGGAATCGCTAAAGCGTTTACGACAACATTACAACGATTATAAAACCCGCGAATATTGTTATGTTACTAATCACGAATTCCGTTGAAGGTTTCTCTTTTTCAATGGCTTATAGGCGAGATAATGTAAGCACTGTGCGTTATCCTAGAACTGGTCATCTTTCTGACACCCCATCCTTCCCGTATACACAGGTTAGAAATCTGCGTGACGGGAACTTCAGGTGTGAGATGCAGGCTCAGGTAACTCACGTGCATAGAATAACAATTGCACTCTTGACATCTTAATTAAGCGATTGATATATCATTATATCAATATATCATATATCAATATATATATATCGTCGTTATTCATATGCTATTAAATCTAACTTTTTGCGTATATGTCAGGTCATCCTGAATGCTCAGTTGTCCATTTTCTGGATCTCAATTCAGAGTAAGCTATACACCAGACGTTGTTACTTGAAATGTTTCGTTATTCAATGCAATTGATGGGGACAAGGTAATTTATGCTTAGGTATTTTTCTGAGTGTTCATTTTTTGTTAAGGTATTGACGTATGATTTCAGGTTATTTCTGTTTTTTTTCCTACTCGAATCATCCCTTCATGTGCAAGTTCATGTGCAATAACAACAACACTGTGAGAGTTTCGGCGAAGTGAGATATTGAAAACGTTAAATCTGAATCAATACATTTGTACGTAAATACAGGTATATAAATGCACAATGTGGGATCAGTGATTATTTGTACAAGAAATTTATAAACGCAAAATATCCACTCGGTTGTCATATTCAATTCCTCAGCTCAGCGTGAAGTTTTTACATGTCTGTTTATGTGGCTGGCGTGATATGAGATCGAAGACATTTTGTGAGTGTTGAAGAAGATCTGTTCATAGACAACCCCACGGCAATAAATATTTATGAATATAATAGCCACGATTTGTCTAGGATCGGTGTTATTTCACATTAGGAGCATACGTAAATATATTCCGGCCTATATGCTTTAATGTATTTTGATGACTAGCCTACTTGTGCGAACCGGGTAGCGCAATTAATTGGTCCACATCTAATGTGAAATACGCATTTGTTATAACAATTGCTTGCCATCCGTGGGCCTATTTGTCCCAACTACACCTATATTCTTAGCATGTTTATCACATGGGATACGCATACAACACTATATGTGGCACACTGGCACAGATGGTCACTGGATGCCATAATTTCTCTATCTCTTATTGTTTAACCGCGCCGGCTCTTTGACTCAGTATATGAGCGCGAATGCGTAACTCGTCCCACACGCGTAATAGCATGGCGCTGCCAATAGAACGAGAGTACACACTGGGCGTGTAACGATTAGCTGTGCCTCCCCCTTCGACAATACCACACCGGAATGCCACCTGTACGCTGGGCGGCTAAACGTGATAGACTACACACAAGGCCCCACATTGACCGCGAGTGCCTTTGTTGCGGCCGAGATGCGCCACGTTTCGAATCATTGTGCGCGTCGGGCGTGCATCCGACTCGCCAAAGAGAGCCCCCTGCGTGGGTAAGCCGCTGGTGCTCTACTGACCGCTGGATACGGTCGTGACATCATGCTCTGCGCACGCGCTGCCTACTCACCACTAGCTAAAGCCGCCCCCCATCTAGTAGGCCTACCCAGAGAATATAGATCGGACATAACGAGGAGCGAATTGAGCTCGCGATTGTTGTCCATTTATATGTTAAAAAACACGTTTATCTTAGACATATATATACACACGTTAAGGTAAGCTATAGGCTACACCCGACTGCGGGCCTTGTCAGGGAGGCGGAAACGATGCTGCGCCAACG